TTTTCAAAGTCATCTATATCGATTTGCACATAAGTGCATATTTGTCTTCATTGCATCGTGTAACTGACGTTAAGATATATTCAGGCATGTACAATTATCTGATCTTCAAATGACCTTTGACTCCAACCATGAAACGTGAAATTATGTTTCTTCCATATTGGTGTTGCAGAAAATCTTTCGCATGGAATTTGACTGGTGTCAAGAGACGAATACGATGCAAGAACCAGTTTTCTCTTCAAGGCCATTGTTTCGGAGTTTTTGAGATCATCGATGTTGATTTGCACATAATTGCCTTTTGTTTTACTGAATCGAGTAGCTGACGTTAAAATACATTCAGGCACGCATAGTGAGTTGGCTATTCAAATGTGTGAAGTCGAAGATTATTTCAAGTTCAAGTTTTATTATGTATGTCTGAATGTATTTTAACGCGCGCGCGCGCGTCAGCTGTATGATGCAATAAAACGCATATGCGCTTCTATAGAAATCGACATCGATGACCATGAAAACTCCGGAAGAAGTGGCTTTGGAAAAAGGCTATTTTATAAATGGTACTCGATTCTTGAAACCAAATTACATATATAGTGGTTTTTGTAACATCACGAGTTATCAAGGCGGATTTTTTACGTGAAAATTAACTTTTTCTTGCATTTTATATTGCTTCAATTTTGTCGAAAACGAAGCCTCCCACGAAATCTTGTCATTCTTGATTTTCGCCTTATTTCCAGCCGTAGAATCTACCTGACTTATGAACTATGTACACCTTGTATTTCATTAATAGACATTAACAGAAAACGTCCTCCTTTTTTTCATTAAATATCTTTGACTTCGTTCATCTGCTGATGAAAAACTGAATTCAACGACTACCATACCGTGATCTTCAGATGACCTTGAATTTAGTAATTTATAGTTAGTATGAACAAGAAACAATACTGTTAAAAGTAATTTAATTATCATCCTCTATATAATTGCACTTATCTGTATCAGTTCATTTCTCGCATCAGTTTTTTATAGTAATACTCGACAGCCTCGACCGATGATGTATTTGGGGACGTACATTATGCATTTGCAATTCAATGGATCATGCAAGTCAATCGATAAATGCCGACACGTAATATGTTTTTATCTATCCATATTCTTAACACGAGAGATGAGTCATTTAACGAGTTATCTCAAAGTCCGTTACATTACCTTGGGAAATCTGCAACAAAAAGCATGAATCATTTATAAATATTCCTTCCAATTTATCACACTCACATGTTTATAATTAGATCGGATTGGATTTTTATAAAAATTCTCATTCTCCATACTACGATAGTTTCATTTTATAACAATTAGGATTAAGGAAAAGTTTGTTGCGTTAACTAAAGGATTACTCATTGCAAAACTGTTAACTTTGTTAACATATACGTTTTCCTGTATTTTAAAAATCTGCACGTACCATAAATGCATAAACGCCCGCAATTATAGTCACCGCACAATAACTTCATCACCCTACTTCTTTTACATAATGTATAAAATAATTCTCACTGTAAATACATGCAATCATAAAACTAGAATGAACAATGTTCGCGATGCAACGTCTACAAAAGTCAAGAAGAATACAAAAAAAAGCGCGAGACAAAGAAGAATAAGGGTGAAACTCCTTTGACGTGAAACCAGAGGTCGGACCACGATTCGAGATCACAGTGGTCGCCGGAATAAAGCAGCGTCTGTCATAAAACTAAAAACAAAGTTCCGGCGAGAACGGTCGAAGATGATTTATTATTGGTCGTGGCCCCGGAGATTTTTCAAATTTCCTTCGTTCGCCGCCGAAAAAAAACCGTAGAGGGTCCGGTGCTGCGGTGAGTGACGAAACGATTCTTGGCTTACCGCATATGTCATAAAACGTTCCAACGTTCCCAAAAATTTGGAGGAAGCTCGAAAAGCTCGGCCGAGCAAAAAAAACACAAAAAGGAAGCGACCGGGCGACGTCGAGCCACGGAAGCCAGTTTGTGGCCCCCTGTAAAAGTTATATGACGGGGCCCTGCAACCGCCGTGCACTGCTTTCGGAAAATGTTCACGTCCTCGGATGATTTGTGGCTGTCCTTTGATCGGATCGGTGGTTTCTTCGTGGTATTTCTGATCTTCCCAGTTAGGCAGTCACGTTTGTCTCGATCAAAGTGTGAAATAACCCCGCCACCGTGAAACTACACCGCTCAAAAAATATTACACCGTAAAGCTATCATTGGATAAAAATTGGCCAAATCCGACTGATGATAACTCCACGAAAATTTATCGCAGGATGATGACTTTCCTTTTTAATTAAAGAAAGAATTAAAGCTTGAAACCTCTACTTTAAGACAGTCTTTTTGGATTTTAAATTTGACGCACCCTCGCCATTGTAACCCTTTAAGTGCGAGGCCATGTTTGTCATACTGAAAATTACCAAATTTGATGAAATACGCGGACTTTGTACAATTTTTCTCGGATGTGCCGTTTGCAGCCGAATGAAGTTTGATCCTCCAGCTTTAATTTGAAGAAAGAAAACTCGGCTGGAATTTTTTTCCCCGAAGCTACAACACTTTAAAGCAACTCTTGTGTTGCAGTGAAATATCTTAACATAAAATACAAATTTCTATTTTGCTAACGGAACTATTAATTTTGCTTTCTTATTTTTTATTTTCTATTTTGTACTGAATTTTTAAAATTTATTTCACGTCTTTTCTTTTTCCTTTATTTTTATTATTTTTTTTTATTTGTCGTATCCATTGAATAAAACAATGTTGCAACATAAATAACGTGTTATGTGCTTCACTATGCCATGTACCTTGAATTTAATAAGATGTATATTTATTGAAATATTAAATTTCATTCGTATATTAACAATATGTATTTTTTGTTTTATAGCATCGATGTCAAGACGCGTAAAATTGCATTTTATTCAATTCAAATGAAATGAAAAATATTGATTTTTATACAATTTCACTTTATTTAGGTTCGAGGATCTTTCCAGCTAGTATTATAAATTTCTTTTCCTATTTACAAGGTATTGTTGCATAGTCGTTGCATAAGGGTTTTGAAAACATTCCAAACGAGGAGATCAATTTATGAACATCGTAAGAATACCACTGCTGTGTACAAAATTTTGAAATTCAGAAAATTTCAGTGGTGCCACAAGCACGTGCTTTCTATGCCTACTGTTTAATACAGCCCTGCCTGACATCATATAATACGTCAGCGCTCAAGATTGATAGTGTCGACAGAGCTCTAGTTATAAGTGATCATTGAATGAGCCAGGAAAAGTCGTAAGAGACCTTGCAGAGTGTACAAGTTAGTCGCATTAATCGAGAATAATATTATTATCTTTGTTCTGTGAATTGCAGTTTCGACGATAACAGTGTACAATTAATTGGAGTTTGACAAATCGAAATACAGGTAGGCACGTGTTTTGATTTACTATAGAAATGTTCCTTGGGAATTCCTCAACACAGGATTTACGAAACCCGTCAAAACGGCGGGTCACTAATTTTTTAATATTTTCGATCATTCAGATTGCAAAGATACATTTATGAGTTATTTATTCAATATATTAGGAATATATTTGTTCAATACATTGAATATATATTTTATTATAATATATTTCTTCGATATGTTAAATATATATTTTATTGTATTTATATTTCTTCAATATATTGAATATATATTTTACTATAATATATTTATTCAATGTTATTTACGGAAAATGTCGCAGTAACTCAAGTTAAAAATCAGAATAAATGTCTTATTGTTACTTTTATAAACTAATATACAATAGCTGCTTTCAGTATCCCGTAAATCTAGTGTTAAATTGCAATCGAATTTCTCACAACGTTTTCTCGATTTATCTATTAATTAGTAAAGCATTCTAAATATCCTACAAAAATTTGATTTCGTGAAATGAGCATACGCGGTTATATTTTTCTTAAAAAGTTCAGCTGTTTGATGTATAATGTAAATTTATTTCGTGCAAAATATGGTGATTCCGAAAATCAAAAGAAAAAGAAAAATTGTAATTTCCTTTTTACAATTTCTACGAGCTCTAAATAGTATAGGGGAGAGGTTGCATGATACGGACACTTCCGTTTCAAACACGACGTGAAAAATTCTAAAAGGCTTTCTAAAATTCTTTTATTTTGGCTGTTAGGAAGGCCAACTGGCAATAAGGGTACGTGGTACTATTATCGCCCATTTCATAAATTATTAGGATTGAAAGGGTCATTGATATTCGTGAATGGGGCAGTGTAATAAAACAGAGTACTATTAACACAATTTCTTAAATCAATGTACAATGGAATTGTAAATATATATTACAAGATTTTTCAATTAACCTTATTGAACATCCTTTCTAAATATTTTATTTACTGCATGTTGTATTTTATTTGCACGAAAACTAAACAAAGCTAGGGAAAGATATTCGAAAGAAGAGTATTTTGACAGGCAATAAGTGTGTATTCAAAATTATAGTGAAGTTTTTGAAAAAGCAGTTACGAAAGGGACGTCCCATTGACAAGGATGTCACTTTTATAAATTTCGTAAGTGAATTGAAAACCTAAGCAATAATTAGATTAATATTAAAGAAAAAATAAAAATCAGTTTATTATTATAATATATGTATACTCATTTATGAAGTTTAATGAATAATTCGAGTAAAATATTCGACTGAAAGGTATTCGTTCGGATAATTATCATCGATAAATATTCAAATAATGTCTGACTCTGGCCTGTGGAACTCATCGCAACTTATTTTTCAAGAATGAGGACCACCGAAAATGCCGTTCGAAAGGCGGTGGAAAATCACTTATGCGAACCGATGGAAATACTGAGCATCACGGACCGTTCGTTCTCCGAAAAGGGATTGAACTTCCTAAGCGATATTGAGGAAATCACCGTGAAGTACCGTAGAACTCCGGAGGGAAAGGAGGGTTCGGTGGTCTTCATCGTCAAATTGGAACCGTCGAACGAATTTCCGAAACAAATGGTTNATTATCTTTGTTCTGTGAATTGCAGTTTCGACGATAACAGTGTACAATTAATTGGAGTTTGACAAATCGAAATACAGGTAGGCACGTGTTTTGATTTACTATAGAAATGTTCCTTGGGAATTCCTCAACACAGGATTTACGAAACCCGTCAAAACGGCGGGTCACTAATTTTTTAATATTTTCGATCATTCAGATTGCAAAGATACATTTATGAGTTATTTATTCAATATATTAGGAATATATTTGTTCAATACATTGAATATATATTTTATTATAATATATTTCTTCGATATGTTAAATATATATTTTATTGTATTTATATTTCTTCAATATATTGAATATATATTTTACTATAATATATTTATTCAATGTTATTTACGGAAAATGTCGCAGTAACTCAAGTTAAAAATCAGAATAAATGTCTTATTGTTACTTTTATAAACTAATATACAATAGCTGCTTTCAGTATCCCGTAAATCTAGTGTTAAATTGCAATCGAATTTCTCACAACGTTTTCTCGATTTATCTATTAATTAGTAAAGCATTCTAAATATCCTACAAAAATTTGATTTCGTGAAATGAGCATACGCGGTTATATTTTTCTTAAAAAGTTCAGCTGTTTGATGTATAATGTAAATTTATTTCGTGCAAAATATGGTGATTCCGAAAATCAAAAGAAAAAGAAAAATTGTAATTTCCTTTTTACAATTTCTACGAGCTCTAAATAGTATAGGGGAGAGGTTGCATGATACGGACACTTCCGTTTCAAACACGACGTGAAAAATTCTAAAAGGCTTTCTAAAATTCTTTTATTTTGGCTGTTAGGAAGGCCAACTGGCAATAAGGGTACGTGGTACTATTATCGCCCATTTCATAAATTATTAGGATTGAAAGGGTCATTGATATTCGTGAATGGGGCAGTGTAATAAAACAGAGTACTATTAACACAATTTCTTAAATCAATGTACAATGGAATTGTAAATATATATTACAAGATTTTTCAATTAACCTTATTGAACATCCTTTCTAAATATTTTATTTACTGCATGTTGTATTTTATTTGCACGAAAACTAAACAAAGCTAGGGAAAGATATTCGAAAGAAGAGTATTTTGACAGGCAATAAGTGTGTATTCAAAATTATAGTGAAGTTTTTGAAAAAGCAGTTACGAAAGGGACGTCCCATTGACAAGGATGTCACTTTTATAAATTTCGTAAGTGAATTGAAAACCTAAGCAATAATTAGATTAATATTAAAGAAAAAATAAAAATCAGTTTATTATTATAATATATGTATACTCATTTATGAAGTTTAATGAATAATTCGAGTAAAATATTCGACTGAAAGGTATTCGTTCGGATAATTATCATCGATAAATATTCAAATAATGTCTGACTCTGGCCTGTGGAACTCATCGCAACTTATTTTTCAAGAATGAGGACCACCGAAAATGCCGTTCGAAAGGCGGTGGAAAATCACTTATGCGAACCGATGGAAATACTGAGCATCACGGACCGTTCGTTCTCCGAAAAGGGATTGAACTTCCTAAGCGATATTGAGGAAATCACCGTGAAGTACCGTAGAACTCCGGAGGGAAAGGAGGGTTCGGTGGTCTTCATCGTCAAATTGGAACCGTCGAACGAATTTCCGAAACAAATGGTTGATGCGCAGAACACGATCCTCGTGGAAACGAGGATGTTGCGCGACATTCTTCCAAAAGTGAAGCAGCTGATCGATCATCCCATAGGGCCACGATTATGGTACTACTGTGAGGACGCTCGGGCCTTGATAATGGAGAATTTAATCGAACAGCGATTTTTAATGCAGGATCGCCAAAAAGGACTGTCTTTCGAACATTGCTGTTTAGTTTTGCGAATTCTGGCAAAATATCACGCAGCCACGGTTGCCATCCATGAAAAGGTCTCCACTTTATTTCTGTTCTTAATTATTCGAACGACCTTCGCGCTAAAATAATCATCGTTTTCTTGAATTTGCTATACGATTTGTACAGATCGAACGTAGATTTTATTGCAAGCGTTTCGTGGTAAAGTTCCAATCAATTCTTTGTCATGGTAATTACAGTTCTTGGGTCTACGATCACTATGCTGATTATTTTTATGAAAAATATAATACGATTTTAGTGATCGTTTTAATTAGCTGAAGATAATGTAACAGTAGCTTCGAATTCTTCAAATGAGTTTGCTTTTAACCTACGTTATTGTCGTCGTAATTGCGTAGCATCTGCAGTCTAATGATCAATGTCAAACATTCATTCAAGGAAAGTCAATCGTTTCTATGCAGATTAAGATGCTGCTAATTACTGTTCCTGTCATTTTTAACGATGCGAAGATATTGTTCAGGGAACAAGATACTAAATTGTTCTAAATAAGAAAATATTGCGATACGAATTTAAGTTTTGCATACTCTTCTTTATGCTGTAACATATATTTTTATAAAATAATAATGTAAAATATATTTTTAATTCAGGACGCCTCAGGTTCACCAGTCAAGTGCAAAGTGTTAAAAACTAAAAACTACGATTCCGAACCCGTTTGCTACTATGCTCCAATGCATGTGACAGTTGAGTTCGTGGTTGTAACAGCGTGCTCTAATTTTCTAGAATCCAGAACTGGTGGAACAGTTCAAAGGCAACGGCATAGTGGCAAAGGAGTGCATAAAATCCTTCTTTCGATTAATGGAAGTGAGCCTTCTGCGAATAAGCGAGCAAATAAAGAGTTGGCCGGATGAGAAATGCGTGAAAGCAGCGCCGAAGATCGCCAAAATGGCAGAATCGATTGTAAATGATTGCATTGAAGCGTACGAATACGATCCCGATGAGTTTTGCGTTGTGAATCACGGCGACTGTTGGATAAACAACATTATGTTCAAGGAAAATGAGAAAGGCGAACCTGTTGACCTACGCATGGTAATTTGTACTCTAATCTTTACAATTATTATTTCAATCGGATAATTAACATTTAAATTCATATATGCTGACAGCTTTTAAAACGCAATAACTTTTTCAAAATAGGACAAAAGGATTTGATTTTTTTTGGATCATAGAAAGATTAGAGACGATGATTGAAATACTTTTTTTTAAATTTTTCTATTACTTACATCGAAAAAAGAAACACGACAGCTCGCGTTTCTTAACTTTTTTAATTTACATTTCTAATTTGCTTTATCGTTCCAAGTAATAGCAAAATGAAAGAAAGGTATTTTAGTAATTGTTTGGTAGTCCTGTCGTCTAAAAAAAATATTCGTGTCATTCGTTTTAAAAGGTGTTAACACATCTTTCAACTGTAAATGCATCAATCGAAATTCCATTTTATCCATATTTTGCAGTTTCATTTTTTACCATATTTTTTAAACAAATTAAGGTATTGAAAATCGGGTTATACAGTTGCATCCCTTGTTAAAAAATACACAACTTTGCAATTTCAACCACCCTTCTGGCTGTAATAGTTCGCGAGATATTCGACCAAATATGATTTCAACTGCCAACTTTGGGGGCTGTTTTCACCCCTTCATTGTGAACGAGTGCCGATACAAACAAATATTTGTCGACTATTTTTTGAATAACTGCCTTCATCCAAAGCTTCGCTAAAATTGACGTGTGATACTTGGGTAGGTTCTCTTGTCAATTATATTTTTGTTAAAAAAGGTTAAATAGATCGATTTAATGCGATCTAAATACAATACTGTTTATTATGCAAATCTGAATTCTCGATTAAACCGGATAATCGAGGTTCTACTGTATTATACTATACCTACGATATTTATAGTAAAAATAAAGATTGTTCAATCGATAAGATATAATTTTATATTTTCGACTATCTATAGATAAAATCAGAATAAAAATTGTTCAAGTGTCAAGGTACAATTTTATATTTTGTACTATTTACAGATAAGATATAAAATTATATCTTATCACTTGAACAATTTTTATCTCAACTTTTACTGTAAATGTTGCAGATATAGATAATCAAGAAAGCGCAAGTATTCGAATAACCGAAGTTACGTAATTAAACTGTTACATTAAATCTTTATTGACTTGTACAATAAATAATACCGTATTTAGATCGCATCAGATCGATCTATTTAACCTCGTTAACAATAATATAACTGGTTATGTTTATGATACTTCAAAAATTTTATTTATCAATTTATTCAACATACTATTTAATGCATATCGTGAGTATTCTGTTAACACATAAATTTAATTTTCCGAAAGAAAGATGGATCTAAATGCATGCAAAAAGTTATAAATTTTGTAATTGTTTTAGTGAACAGAGCGAACAAGATGACAATGTTTATTCAATCTAAAAGGAATCACTTAATAAACAACGACAAAAAAAATAAAATAAAAAAAATGAGAACGACGATCGTTAATCGCATAACTTTTTGACCGACAACGATACTGTTTCAGGTCGACTACCAACTATCCGGCTATTCCTCCCCAGCCATCGACTTGATCTATTTCCTAAACACTTGCCCGGAGCTCTCGATCAAGTACGACAAAGACGATTACTTTGTCGAGCTATACCTGAACACCTTGAAGGAGACAATGAAGCAAATTGGCTGCAAAACGAATGCACCGAGCTTGAAGCAATTAAAAGCGTCGATGCACAAGAGAAGAGCATACGCAGTGTTCGCTGGACTTGTGCTTAAACTGCGCATGATAGCGAACAAGGAGGACACGGAGGACTTTACGCTGGTGCTACAGACTTACGGCGGTGAGACTAGGATGAACGTTTTCAAACATCCGAACGCGGTGAAAATGGCGAAGAAAATGATCCCTGCGATGGACGAAAGAGGCTACTTCGATTGAACTTAGTATCTTAACGAACATATTTGTTCCAATAACTGACCGTTATCGGACGTATAGTTAAAATTCAATTTTATGATACACAGATAAAAATCAATTTTGTAATGCAAATAGTTAGAAATCGATCACACGATACGCGAAGTTATAAATCAGTTTTGTGACACAAATAGATAGAAGTCAATTTCATAATACACAATTGTTAGGAATCAAAGTTTTTAATACAAATAGCTAAAATCATTTGTATGATAAACATAGTTAAAAATCAATGTAATACGCTAAGTTAGAAGAAAAATGTTGACGTGCTTTGCTCTAATGAACGATCTATCATTTTGTGGGCAGCGCACGGTGTTCATAGTTAACCGTAATATTTCGCTTAAATCGCGGAAGAGATTTTTTCCACAGTATTTGTATAATTTAGGTACATATTTTACAGAAATATATTCTATCACAGTTATTACAAATGGAAGTAAAATGGACATTTATTTCCTTCATCGATCAGTTGAACGAACTACAATATTATGTTAAAATTCTTCCGATTGCACCCTCACTTTTGCCAGAAATCCATCAAATCTTCCTAAAATCAAATTGTGCATTCTTGACGACCATAGCAGATGAAAAATAACACACCAGTATTTTTCAGCCGCCCAAACGTTTTCGTGATCGTTCGTTTGTTTATACATCGAAGCTGTCAGGAACGATGAGAAGTTACGACCGAATACATTTTTCCATCGAAGTGCCTAAATGCTCCGATCTGGACAACTCTCCCGGAGATAAAAAATAGAAACGACCAGCGAAGAAACAAAAAGGGGATCGTATGAGCATTGTGCCTGCCCCAGGAGCCTGTCAGCCTCGCGACGTGACCCTGCAGCATCCTGCTGGTCGAGGAAAACTACAGGCACCTAACCCAGTCGATGAACTTTCGAAAAGATCCTTCGAGGTCGAACGTGCGGATTCGGCGGTCTGCCGGTAGCAATTGATTTATTGTAGGGCAGTAAAGCACTAGGCTAAAAGGTCTCTGAAAGAGCGTCGTCTCGGTAACCTACATCGTGAACAGAGAAATTGTTGTGGCAAGCCTCGTTGGCCTGCTTTGCCCTGCGCCTTTCGGGTCTTCGCTGGCGAACGAGAAACACGACGAAACGGCTCGACAGCTTGCCCGAAGTAAGATAAACGGAACAAGAGAGAAAAAAAGAGGGAGAGAGAGAGGAAGAGAGAGAGAGAGAGATGGTAGGAACTCTATGTTCCGGTTCGAGATGTTGCCCGAGTTGCTCCAGCCACCTCGACCTAGCTTTCTCACTCTTTTCATCTGTCGCTGCGAGACGCGCCCGTTAACGACACCCTCTCTTTCTCTGTATTCGTCAGTGACCTGCTGGAGGACCTGGAGCACGCACCCCCGTGAGACGATCCGTAAATCACGGTAGAAAAGCGAATTCGAAAAATTCGGTAGCCGGATCGACCAGCCTCGAGAAAGTCGGCTGCGGAACAGAGGCACGGACCGAGGTGAAACTGAGGGATAATGGAAAAAATCGGTGGCCGTGAAGCATCGGGATTACTCGGTCGTCAGCGAGCGAAAATTCCGGTAGCAGACCGCGATTAGTCACGAATCCGCTCGTGGAAGATGTCGTCTCTTTTCTCCCCCTCGGGCTCGGGATCTCCGGCGGGGAACCGAGCGTTCCGAGGATGACCCCGAGTTTCGGCCGGTTGTCCCCTTTCGTACGTATCAGTGTGCGTCTTTATTGCGAATTTGGAGCGTTCTCGGGCCGATTTGCTGATCATCCCCTTTTATAAAGTCCTAGATAACGATCAGATTCGTAAGCGGCTTTCAATATATTAGATCGTAACATAAGTTCTCGTCCCGCTGTGTTACTTAATTGCGTGACACTGCTTTGCCGATTCATTGACAACTTCACGCCGGCGATTGTTTGACTTCCTCTTTTTGTTTACGATTCGGTGATCATTTCTGCGCAAGCTGTTTACAATCGCTGGTCTTTACAACTCTGTTTATGAAAGGTTTCAAACGCCTGGAGACAAAGAACAATTTCGTCACATTTTGCTTTTTTCATTACGGTAAAGGTAAAAAAGCGCCATAAACATGTCTAAAAATTCACGGTGTGTACGGAGATGATGCAATTGACGAATTAACGTGTAGGAAATGGTTCGAAAAATTTAATCTGGACGTATCTGGACGCCCTGAAGACAGATTCTGCACGAATTTGGGCCTTCATCATAACGGTTTCAAAGCATGTTCGTGGTTTTGGACTGGCAAGAACGGGATGAATTTATGTTGTTTATTAATTTTTATAATATTTAGAGCGAACTTTTTGGATTTGGATCTGTGATTATTCCTTTCCTAGAGTCTTAGATAATCAGCAGATTTTTTTGGATTACTTTCATTATTATCCTCGTTCCTAGAATCCTAGATAATGGATAGATACGTATGTATCAACAGTCAACACAGATCGATATGTATTATATTAAATATTATCGTTACTCCCTGTATATCATATAAAGTATACAAATTAATTATTTGTAATGATGTACAGAAATTTCTCCTTAATTTACACTCAGATTATGCAAAAAAATGGACAATTTAAGAAAATACGATTATTCGAGCCATGCGTCTCGTTTTTATAGTTGTTGACAATCGGTAACCATAAAAACGAGACGCAAGGCTCGAATAATCGTATCTCCTTTTCTCAAATTTTCTATTTTTCTTTTGCATAATCTGAGTGCAAATTAAGGAGAAATTACTGTATACAGTTAAAAGTCGAGAGACCTGGCCTCGTTCAGACAATTACCCCTTGAATCTAGCTACGTTATGAATCGTCTACAAAATGTGCCCATAATTCATTAAACAAAAATAGTTTCAAGCGATTTATTTTGTAGAATTAACTTCTAACAGAATGGTTGTCTTACATGTTACAGATTCCATAACAGAGCGGAACGCAGGAAATGAAAGGACATGGTCCTAGGCCAAAGAACAGGATAAATCGTTGGAAATTCTGAAGGGGGTTACGAACTAATCCAACGATTTTTCAGGTACACAGGTTTAATATATTTTTCACGACAAATTCGTCAATGTCTCGGTCTCGAATAACGCCTACTCTTTGTATGGTTCGTCAAAGGCGATCTTGGGCCTGAGAAAATTCTTCTGGAGTCGTCAAACGCTATTAATAATCGAGAATTTTTCTAATGTGTGAATACAACGATACGTCATTGTCGTTGGAAAGCATTTGGGCCTTCTAAATAATTACAAATTATAAATAATATTTGTCACAGTGTGCCGCTGTTATTTTTAGATTAATCCGGAGATAGAATTTTTTGTTTACGAAAATTAAAATAATTTTATGCATTTATAGCAAAAATTAACAGATGTAGTACAAAACTGTGAAGTGATCAAACCAATTTAAGAACATTGTTATACTATTTTTGACCTATTCAAATTATTGAATAACAAAATATATGTTTATCTAATTTCGATTGCTTGCGAATAAATAATTATTATGTTGCACAAAAACCCCTTCTTAAAATTTCGAGAAACAGTTCAACTCAACGATGAATTAAAAAGAGAGACTGCCTAAAATAAAAGGATCTTCAGTAAAATATTTATAACTTTCGAAAATGATATTTGTTTAAGCTGAGAATTGTTGTGCAATTACTCCACACTGTGTTACTAACACAGTAAAAAGGTAAAAAGTTTCCACCGAACCATTGCATTGCAAAAAATTTCAACAAGTCATTTTCCTCCTCAAGCAATCACTTATTCGAAATTCTGAAATAATTGCACAAATATTGAATTAAATCGGTTCGCAGATTCTTTTTTATACAAACATTGAATAAATCGGTTCATAGATATTTTTACACAAATATTGAATCAAACCAGTTTTAACACAAATATTAAATTAAATTCGTTTGCAGTTATTTTTACACAAATATAAAATAAATCAGGTTGCACATATTTTTGCACAAATATTAAACTAAATCCGTTTGCAGAAATATTGTATTGAATCAATTTGCAGGTATTTAAAGTATTTTTACATAAATGTTGAGTTAAATCAGTTTTCTGGTATTTTTACACAAACACTGATTCAAATCAATTTACATATATTTTCGCACAAATATTGAATTAAATCGGCTTGCAGCTACTTTCGCACAACCACTGAATTAAATCGTTTCGCATACAGTTTCGCAACGAACGGTGGCCAATTGGCACAAATAATGAGAAAATAATTTAAAAATCATTTGAAAGATACCTCACAATAATTCTACAACTAGAGAAAGCTCTTCTGACCACCGCTCCCTGCTTGTTCGTCGAAAGGTCGCGCAGTCTTCGTCAACCTGTTTCGTATCTCGAATCGAATTCAATCGGGACACCCGAGAAATACAAATCGTGCGGCGTGAATTGTATTGCAGGAACGTGGACGGGTCCCGGTAGAAGAAAAGAGGAACCACTTATCAATATTATTCTCCGGGCCCGCGGTGCATACGGGCGTATTTACACCGGCGAGACATGCAATTTTGGCGCGCGACGTGTAAATACAAACGTGTCATTGGACAACAATATACCCGTGGGATCACTTGTAGCCCGATTTCGGTGTCAATGACCACGCAAGCCGCGCCGCGCCGCGCCGTTCTGAATTTTTCGATGGTATTCGGTGGCGACCTCGAGTAAATTATTGCTAAACGGTGTACCGGCGGATGTCAAGATGCGGGCCTCGTTCGGGTGGTCGTGGGATCTTTCCACAAAGGCCCTCACCGAATGCTAGAATGTGGAACAGAGTCTGCCTAATCGATTCCAGACAAATCAATTCGGCCTTCACGCGGCGATACGTGTATCGCGATACTCGTGCGGCGCGTACGCCGATGTCGCGTTCAGTCTTGATCATTTAATAGTGATTTTTGATACACAGTGGCTCACGAAAGTATTCGAACACTAGCATTTGGTTGGCCAATAACTTCGCGCGGGTTTTGACGCGTATATAAGGAGAGATTTTTTGTACACAAAGAAGTATCTTTATTCGATTACATATTCCCCATTGTTTCTCATAACAGTCTCCCATCTTCTGGGCAAATTCATGAGTCCCTGTTTTATAGAATTCCTCATCTTCCCCGCAAAAGATCGCTCCAAGTGCTCTTTAACAGCCTCTTCAGAATTGAGTTTCTTTCCATTTAGCGAATTTTGTAAAGAACGAAACAAATGAAAACCTGTTGGGACAACGTCTGGAGAATATGTGGGATGTGCTGGGACATCTCAACCCAGCTGCTGTATCTTTCGCCTTGTCCTAAGCGAAGTGTGTGGTCTAGCGTTGCCGTGGTGCAAGACTACTTCTTTACGATTCAGCTGTTCTGGACACTGGCCAATGGTCAGTGTTTTTCATTAATAAAAAGTTACTTGAAATGACCTGAGGAACCCCCCATTTCCAGACTACGAGACATTTTTGGAACAACCTGTATAGTGCAAACTATGAA